GATTGACCCCCTCCCCGGCTGCGGCCCCGGACCCCAAGACACCTCCGGACTTGTTCTAACGTCAATTGCTATCACAGGTTGCTTCCCAGTACTCTCCCTACGCCCAGACCTCCACGGTTGGCATGTGGATCGATGCCGGTTCCAGGGCCGAGACCGACGAGACCAATGGCACCGCCCACTTCCTCGAGCACCTTGCCTTCAAGGTACGCCCCCGATGTTACGCGTTACGAGCCCTCTCTCCGGCTTATGGTTAGCTTGGATATGGCGCGTTGGGTCGTCAGATGGATCGTTGGATCGTATGAGCAGGGCAGCAGGTTAATTCGACGACGATACATAGGGAACGACGAAGCGCACTCAGCAGCAGTTGGAGCTCGAGATTGAGAACATGGGCGCTCACCTCAACGCCTACACCTCGGTTCGTCTGATCTTGTCGTCCGGCTCATCCGCCGCCCGCTAACCCCCGGGCAACAGCGCGAGAACACTGTCTACTTCGCCAAGGCCCTCAACGAGGACGTCCCCAAGTGCGTCGACATTCTCCAGGATATTCTCCAGAACTCCAAGCTCGAGGAGTCCGCCATCGAGCGCGAGCGCGACGTCATTCTCCGCGAGTCGGAGGAGGTTGAGAAGCAGCTCGAGGAGGTTGTTTTCGACCACCTTCACGCTACCGCCTACCAGCACCAGCCCCTCGGCCGCACCATCCTCGGCCCCCGTGAGAACATCCGTGACATCACCCGTACCGAGCTCGTGAACTACATCAAGAACAACTACACCGCCGACCGCATGGTTCTCGTTGGCGCCGGTGGCGTTCCCCACGAGCAGCTCGTCGAGATGGCCGACAAGTACTTCTCCAAGCTCCCTGCTACCGCCCCCGAGAGCAGCGCTTCCATCCTCTCCAAGAAGAGGCCCGACTTCATCGGTTCCGATATCCGTATCCGCGACGACACCATCCCCACCGCCAACGTTGCTATCGCCGTTGAGGGTGTCAGCTGGTCCGACGACGACTACTTCACTGCCCTCGTTACCCAGGCCATCGTTGGCAACTACGACAAGGCTCTTGGCAACGCTCCCCACCAGGGCAGCAAGCTCAGCGGCTTCGTTCACAAGCACGACCTCGCTACCAGCTTCATGTCCTTCTCTACCAGCTACAGCGACACTGGGTAAGCACGCCCAGCTTGGGGGTTTTCTTTTTTGACATGAGGTACAACTACTGACATGGGGAAAATACAGTCTCTGGGGTATCTACCTTGTCTCTGACAAGCTCGACCGCGTCGACGACCTTGTCCACTTCGCTCTCCGCGAGTGGACCCGTCTCTGCTCCAACGTTACCGAGGCTGAGGTTGAGCGCGCGAAGGCCCAGCTCAAGGCCTCCATCCTCCTCTCCCTTGACGGCACCACCGCCGTCGCTGAGGACATTGGTCGCCAGATCGTCACCACCGGTCGCCGCATGAGCCCCGGTGAGATCGAGCGCATCATTGATGCCGTTTCCGCCAAGGACGTTATGGACTTCGCCAACAAGAAGATCTGGGATCAGGATATTGCTATCAGCGCGGTCGGCAGCATTGAGGGTCTGTTCGACTATGCCCGCATCAGAGCTGATATGAGCAGGAACACTTTCTAAGCGAATGGAGAGCAAGAGGGGGGCCGGGGTTTGTATTATAATCGGTGTTGCATTCCAGCCCAAAACCTGTACTCTAGGGTCGGAGGCTAGACATAGAGCAATCAATTTCCTTGCGTACAAAGTCTTACGGTACAGGTTCGGTTGGCGAACAGGGTTACAAAATGGTTATGTTCCGGGACGAGAGAGAGGTGGAGCTAGGAGGCTAGAGGCCGGGATTACCACTTCGATTACGGATTTTTGGCCTGGTTCGCGAATCTTTGACGACATTGTGCTCCAATGGCTTACGCGAGGTGAGAGAGATTGAGTAGGACAAAGATGATGAATGATGAGAGACTTGCCACGACGCTGGAGTTGGACGAAACCGCATCCAGGGCCTTTCGCAATGTTCACCTGCAGGAAAAATCAGTGATGATGGTATCCGAAAGGTTACTATGAGTCGATTCTCTGAATCGAAGTCTGGACCACGCAGCAGTGTGTCGGGTGTATTTACAAAATAGTACACAGACTTGAAAGAGGCGCCTTGTAACATGAAGGTTATGCTGTAATGCCTGCCTTGCTGGAATGCCTACGCGGCCTGGGCTTCGGAAGGTGGCACAGACCAACCGGAGTCGGGGAGTTGGAGTCACGGTACGGACCTGAGACAGCGGAGGGTCGGGGTACGTACTCGGCTCGCTAGCTGCTAGTGAAGCGCACCCGGCCTTATCGTGTTGGTGGCGATCAATTTTAGCGCAGGTGGGTGCGGTGCGCACGGGGCAACAAAGCCTTTCAGCCAAACGGCAGTCGAACTTTGGCACTTTAACGTGACGTCCAGTGCAAACTCGGGCCGGTGACCATCTGAGTACCGCCCTTGTCCTGTTACGCCTTGTCTTGATCTGACCTCTCCCCCATTTGACCCTTTCCTGTTTGCAGATCCCTCCCCCGAACCCATTCGTTCCGGTTGTTCGGTTGCTGCACCCTCTTCTCGACTCGCCGTCTGCGAAGCGAACTTGCGCCGGTCGGAGGCGGCATATATCCATCAGCTGCGACCCAGTGCCCTTAAACCTCCACCCGAACATCGAATTCTCAGCATCGCGATCATGATTCCCCAATCCGTCCGACGGGTCGTGGCTGCCGCGCCGCAGTCGCCCGTCGTTTCCTCTCTGGCAGCCTCGTCCGCCCCTCGCGCCGGCGCCTCCTATATGCTCTCGTCCTACCAGCCCAATTCCCTGCAAAAGCGACGATACTCCTCCTCCAAGCCATCTAGCCCCGATGATGGCTCGTCCAGGGTCTTCGCGACCCGCGGCTCTGTGCCCGCCGCCGGCACGTCCAAGACTCCTGGAGAGAAGCGCAAGCGCAAGGCGAAGGAACCGGTCATGCCGCCGCTCCCCAGTGTGCCCAGCACCAGGCACATCAAGGACGAGGGTTCGTTTATTCCCGCCATTTATTGTTACACATGTCTGGAATTAAGTTACTAACAAGCCGTTTTAGCTCTCGCGCTTTCGACCTTCTTCGCCCTCCACAGGCCCATCTCAGTTACCCAGCTTCTTCCCAAGATTGTGACCGAGGAGTCATTCGCCGAGATCTTCAACCACCGCAAGGGACACAAGGCGACCGATGTCCTCTCGACCTTGTCGCAGGCCGTACACGATCTCGAGTCGCCCATGTCCGGGCTTAAGCTCTCGGATAACGACATCGAAGACGGCTCTACCAAGATCAGCCTCAAGCACCCAGACGGCACCGAATCCGATGTCTACTTCCAGCTAAACTCCATGTCCGGCCACTTCCTCCCCTTCACCCCTCCTCCGCCGCCCGAGCCGATCGCCGAGGTTGACGAGGCCGCCGCTGAGGCCGAGGTCTCTGCCGCTATCGCCGAGGAGATTGCCGCCGAGCATGAGCCGGAAACGCGCGTGTATAAGGCGGTTGTCACGATCGAGGAGACGAGGGATACCAACGGCCAGTACAAGATCATGGCGCACAGCCCACAACTCGTCGAGGACGATGCCGTGCAGCCGCGCAGCTTCCTGGAGCGCCTCGCTCTGCGCCAGATCCGCTACGAGGATGCCCGTCAGCAGCAGGGGATCATGCACGCCATTAGCGTGCGCAGGCAAAAGAAGCTGAAGATCAAGAAGAAGAAGTACAAGAAGCTCATGCGCAGGACAAGAAACGAGCGTCGCAAGCAGGATAGACTCTAAACTAAACCATAGGAGTATATCCGGCTGGTGGATGCGTATTGTTTTGTCGTTTTTTCTATACCTCAACTCGCAATGTAAAATATCCTCTCTACATACTCACGCTCACGCTGTCCTACTCTCTGGTGTCCCGTCACCCAGTGACCAGTAATCAGTGTGTATTGTTTGAAAGTCTCATGGAATCATTTGCTCAGCTGCTTGACGGAGAGGTTTTTTGGTTTGATTTTCTTTTGGGTTCAGCATATTCGCGCATTAGAGGGAAGAGGAGAGAGGCAAGCTCAGTAGGTTAAGAAGGTATCAGTAGTTAACAGAAGAGGACGATATCCCAACATGAATACGCTTCATAAGGCCCCGTGTAAACTCTCGTGAATGTTTAGCGATCACTCATAGACTGGCCTGTGGGCAAAGATACCTCTCATCGTACCCTTTCACTTATCAACTTGCCTATACTCTGACTTCTTCTGAAATTCTCGATTTACTCTCAATCAAAGCACCCTATCTGATCCCCTTAGCTAGATGAAGATCATGTCACATGTCGTTAGTCCAGCCGCGGGTTTTTCAAATCATGGATTTATCCTGACATCACGCCGTGACTGAGTGTATAGGTCCTACTCTCCTCGACTTGGACGGTTTTGCGCAGGAGCGCACCCTCAGACATCCCCATTCCCTCGGCACATTTGCCCTAGGGTTAAACGGACTGTGTACTTTCCCACCAGAGTCATGCCATCTCAGGATCACCGGCGGCGGCATGTTGATTCGAGATTCGGGCAGTAGGTATAGGTACACTACAAAGCAACCGGAGCCGACATTCGGCGCTTCTAGCCCAGACGAGTACTCGAATGCACATACCTAGGTAGGATCGGATTCAGCATATCACAATTCACACAATCTCCATCCCCAGAACAGAACAGCCCCATGGGGTTAATCTTGTATGACATTCCGCCTTATTTCAAAACGCTGTGTACCAGCAACCGCCGTTCCGGCCCGTGCCAAATTTCAGGGGCATTTACCTTGGTTTTGGAAATTCTGGGAAATTTTCTGCGAGAATCATGTATGTAAGGTATGTAAAGATCTAGACCCGTTAACTAGACCTACCTAGGCTCTTGTGGCTCTCTGTAGATTATCAAACTCACGTACTCGTACTACAGTACTGTACCATAGTATGTCTCAAACCATTCAACAGAGTTGAGTTGGGGTAGACAGAGAGACAGACAGACCGCTCGAGTCCTCCCTCCTCACTCCGTATTCCGACGAGCGGGCGGTGTGTGGTGATGCGATGATGATATCAATCAGGTGGGCAACGGCAGTTATCCAAATCGAACGCAACTTAATAGGACCTGGCTCCTGAGTAGGGAGATAAACATTGACGACGAAATCGGTGCTTTTACTCCGGGCCTTTGTCACACGGGCAACGGCAGGTAGGTGGCGGAAAGTGTGGAATTTTTCAACTTCTTCTTCTTCTTTAGATGGTTCGGTGTTGCTTCAGTTCGATTTGTGATATGTGTAGTTTGTGGTGTGTGCTCGGTGTGAATGTGGCGTGGTTTGCGGTGTTGGAATGTTGTGAGACAAGTCGGGGTATACTTATGATATCGATGTGCCCGACCTTTCGGTCCTCGGTCCTCGTCTCGGAACTGTTGATTGTTGTTTTTTCATGCAGTGGGATAATGGGCCGTTTTGGGATTGGAATTCATGAAAAAACGGAAATGTCAAATCAAGACTGGTGGGAGGGGGAGGGAAGAAATGGACGGGATGTGATGATATGTAAAGTTATGCAGGGACGTCGATACCCCTCGTCGAAGTTTACACTCGTGTCAGAGCGAGACCTCTTCTTGAAATCTCAAGAGTTCATGAAGAGCTCGCTTGTGTGTTTCATTACTCAGGTTTAGAGGGGGAGGGTTGCTTCTAAACCTGACGAGTAGGAAGAATGACAGGGCATTCTGCATCGATCTAATGTAACATTCATCAGCTGTGCGCTGCAGCTATCTTGAGGTAGCTACCCCTAACTGCATTGCTTACTCTACTCATGCCCCGCCCACGACTCCCGCTCCAGCCGTAGAGGTGTCTCAGCAAGTCCCCATCCGATGGCATCATCGCATTGTCGGCCATTGCTCTTTGGCCCCTAGCTATTTCGACATCAGATAATTCCAAATTCCCGTCATTCTGCTACAGATCTCCTCTCCTCCTCTGCAGAAGCTTAAACAGTGTCCTTCTTAAGAACAAGCTGCCCACTTACAACTTCCTCATCTCCACCCTCACCATCATCACCGTTCAGACTCCCATTTGTCCACCTGTAGTGACTTTTTGTTCCCTTCGTCCACCCCAAGAACCAAACCAACCAACCACCACCACTTCCATCACAATGGCTCTCCCTCCCAAGTTCGCCGGCCAGCGTTTCATCCCCACCGAAGGAGCTGGCGCGAGCTCTTTTCCTTCTCAACCCCTCCACACCGTCGAGATCTTCCTCGACTACGTCTGTCCTTTCTCAGCTAGTAAGTTATTAATTTAGTTCCCAATCACCCTACCTTACTTTCCGTCTTACCCACCCTTTCATCAAGTAAACGATAACTAATTCCCCAAAAACCCTTGACCAGAAATCTACAATACCCTCTACACCTCCCTCTTCCCCGCCCTCGCTTCCGACCCCTCCGGCCTAGGCTCCAAGCTCCAATTTATCTTCCGCCACCAAGTCCAGCCCTGGCACCCGTCCTCCACACTAACCCACGAGGCGGGGCTAGCCGTACAGCGTTTAGCCCCCACCAAATTCTGGGACTTCAGCGCGGCCTTGTTCAAAGACCAAAAGGCTTATTTCGACGTGAGCCTGGTGAACGAAACGCGCAATGAGACGTACAAGCGGCTGGCCAAGCTAGCCTCCCAAAGCGTGGGGGTTGATGAGAAGGAGGTGTATGAGTTGTTGACTATCCCGACGGAGGCGGCCGACGATGGGAGTTTGAACGTGGGGAATGCGGTGACGAATGACTTGAAGGTGGTGATTAAGATGGCGAGGCTGGTGAGCGTGCACGTGAGTCCTACGGTTATCTTTGATGGGGTGGTGGCCGGGGATGTGAGCTCGAGTTGGACGGTGGAGCAGTGGTTGGATTTTTTTAAGAAGGCTACTGCTTGATGGGTAGATTTGATATGCGAATGGGAGAGGATGCTTTAGCGGAGGGGACGACTCCTGAAAACCCTGAGAGGATAGAGTAGGGTCGAGCTGACACGTAAAAGATAATGCGAGGAGGTTCAGCAGACTGGACCGGGTCGGTATCTTTTTTACGACTAAATGATGTGTGGGTATAGCACAATCAAAATTGATTTGAAGACGGGGAACCAAAGCTTATATTTTCAACTGTAAGATAAGTCCACAGACGATGACCTGACGTTCCGGATATTCAGGTGAAGAACACTCATGACATGTCCAGAAAAGGAAGGACTAGTACGAGAGAAGCAATTCGGCCTCTTCTGTAGCAACTGTCCAGCAAACTCCTCCAAAACTCCAGAACAATGCCATGACGTGACGCTCAAGAACGCAAGTAGCAAGTATCAAAACATAAAACACAATATCACAACTTTTATCACATAGAAGACAAAGAATGGGAAGAAGATCAACGGGCAACAAACACCACACTGAGGTTATGCCCAAGTCCTCAACATTCTATTATCAGTGACACCGGCTTTCATGATCATGTTGGATCGTTGCAGACTCTCAGGTCGGTTATTGAAAGCATACCCGGCTCACTCCACACCACCGGCCGCGCTCATTGATCGAGTTTACTTCCTGCTCCTCCTCTGCTTCTTAGCAGGAGGTGCTGGCGCAGCCTCGGCTTCTGACTCGGACTCTTCAAGCTCGCTGGCACCTTCGATGTCGAGGTCGGAACCTTCCTCGCCATCTTCACCGCCAGAGCCCTCTTCCTCGTCTTCCTCTTCCTCATCGCTCGACTCGTCCAGGGGTATCATGTCTTCAGCAGTGCTCTTCTCCTCGCCCTTCTCCTCAGCAGCCTCTTCGACCTCAGAGTCGCTGTCACTGTCGAAGCCGGCAAAGTTCTCGAGGTCATCGTCCTTGGAACCCTCTCCTGCCGTAGCGGGAGTGGTGGCAGTGGTAGCAGGCTCGCTCTCGTCCTCGTCCTCGTCACGTTTCCGCTTCTTGGACATTTCTCCGTAGCGACCCTCACGGCCCTCCATGGTATCAGTTTCGCCCTCCTTCATGGCGGGGGCAGGTGTGAACCAGGGGATCTTGCCGCGCATGAAGTCGTTGAGAACCATCTTAGCAACACCATCAACATCAGGCTCACCACCCTTGAGAAGTCTGCCGCCCTTCCTGGCAAGCATCTCAAGGAAGTGGATATGGTCCTTCCAGCCCTTGAGCTCGTATGTCCTCTCCATGTGATGAGGCTTGACCTTGTTCAACACTGCAGGGATGTACTGCTCCGGGTTATCGACGTTCTCAACACGGACGACACCACGAAGGAGGAGATCCTGTGGTGTATCGTTCTGGTTGGGAGGAACAATACCAGGGCAGTCGATGAGGTAGATCCTCCTCATCAAAGTAACATACTGCCATACCTTGGTCTCGCCGGGAATGGGGGCGACCTTAGTGACGGCCTTGCCACGAAGGGCATTGATGATACTCGACTTGCCGACATTGGGGTAGCCGACAAGGCCGACACTGATCTGTTTCCTGTCCTTGTGAAGGATGCTGAACTGTCTCAGGAGATCGATCAAAGAACCACGACCGAAGGGGTTCTTGATGCTAGATCTCATAGCACATGTGGGGTGATCCTTCTGAAGCACACGGATCCATGCAGCCTATTTTTCCAGTTAGTCTCAATTCGTTGAGAAACTAGCAAACAAGATGTTATGTGAAGAAATGTGTGAATCATAACTAAGAAGACCACCACGGTAGGGTCTGCTCAAGGCAGGGTGGAATTCAACTCAAACGAAACACGTCCGGTATCCCGTGAAGTCCTCCAAGACGGAGTCCTTCAAATCCCCGATCCCAAGACGGGACCAAGGAAGTTGGGAGGTGGATATCAATCTCCCAGCGATGTAACAGACCAATCCCAATGATCCCAATGGGCGCAAATGAATGCGGGAAAGATCCTGACAAAATCCCTGGGAACCTCTAAGAGTTGCACGAAGCAAGTCAAGAGGTTCAAGAAGTGGGAGTGAAAGCAGATGATGGTTTAAACTTACGGCAGTCTTGGAAGGAACAAGATCGATCTTGTTCAGGACAAAGATAAGATGCTTGTGAGGAGCCTCAGTGGCAAGGTACTTCTCAACGTGACGACACCTGGTTCCAACGGGATCTCTGGCATCAATAACATGCAGGATGACATCTGATGAATCAATGACCTTGTCTGTTTCAATCGTTAGTAAACCGAAGTCACAAATCCAGGAGGACAGGAGAACCTACACAACTCGTTCCAGATACGCTTTGACTGGCCCTTTGTAAAGATAGCCTCCTTGGCCGTTGAGACACTGAAATCCTCTTCTTGAACATCGTCATCGGCGAGACCACCGCCATAACCAGAAGCACCACTTAGGAGCTTGATCTCCTCGAGCCTGGCTTGGTACGCGTCCATGCTCTTCTCGCTGTGTTCTGTCAAGTCACCGACGGTGTTGAAGCTGAGTTTTGGCCTCTTCCTCTGGGACTTGGGGCCGAAGGTCTGTGAAAACGGCTCGCTCTCGATCGTCATCTTGGCCTGGTGCTTCTTCAACGCATCCTTGGGACCATCTCTGATCAAGCTCATGGGAAGCTTGTTGCTCTTCAACAGCACCGCTATAAGACAAAGCGCATTAGTTTTGGTCGGCGCCACAGGCGATAGTAAGGGGAATTGAACGTACAGTAAGGATCCTTGTCCTTCTCAGCAATCGCCTCCCGGAAAGATGTCAACGTGTCCTGCGAAATGACTCTGGTGTTGTTGAACCATCGCCTGTTCGGCTCGATGACGGCTGTGGGACGGTCTCTGCTCTGAAACGACGCGGCCTGAACGATCTTGCCCTCCTTGTTGCGCGTGGCCCTTCCCTCCTTGAGAATGTTCAAGGTCTTGATCTTCTTTGCGCTCCTGTAGAAGTTCTCGCCCTTGACCTTGGGGTCGCCCGTCACCTTGCCCTGTCGCTCAATGCGAGATCTTTCCTTCTTTCCTGTTCCCATTTTGGCAGATGTCACTCGATGCCAAACTTCTGATTAGGTTTGTGGGTAGAGGATGTAAGATGTGGAAAAATTTCGTTCTCGCCTGCGAGAGCGGTGGTCGGGGGGTATCCGTGAATCGGTGGGGATTGAGATTGACTGGAAAGAAGAAAGAACACGAAAAGAGGGAAGAATGGGTAAAAAAAGCAAGAAACGAGGCTTTGGGGTATCAGGTATCGGCAGAGAGTGTTGCGTGAGGTTCGAGAAGATGAATGGACTGGGGGGAGAAAAAAAAAGATTGGAGAGGGAAGCGAGGAAGGAATGGGAAGGAGGAAATGCAACTCTGCGACTGGCCCGGCGAAAGTTTTCTCAGTTTTTTTGGCGGGGTGTGGAGGCTGCTGAAAGGTCCCCTTGCACAAAAAGTTTAGCGGTGTGCCACGGCAGAACGCCCACGACCATCAAGGCTAGCACCAAAGCGCCCTAGCGCCGCTCTGCCCGCCCCGAGCTTTCAGAATTTCGAGTTGAAAGCCCCGTTCCGTGTCCCACGATCCCGAGCCGAACCTACCTAGGAGCGCGAGAGAGGCCGCTGCACCCGCCTGGTCCGTTCCCTCCCCCGTCGAACCAAACCTCCGCATATCACGGCCCCGGCCAGAGGTCTCCCAAACTCCGAACCCCCTCCCGCCAACCCCGTCTTCAGCCAACCCACCACCTCAAAAATGGCGCCGTCTCTCGCCAGGCCGTCCCTCAACGGCGTTCAGTCCATTCTTTCTTCCTCGACCACAACATGCGCTGCTGCTACCAGTCTAGTAACACGCGCCGTCGCTGCCCGATCATTCAGCACCACCCGTTCGGCTAGAGACTCGGCCCCCCCGCCCCCCGATTCACCCAACTACATCAAGGTCCCCGAGCCACCCCAGTCGTCCGAGGTCAGGCACCCCTTCGTCAAGGGCCACCTGCCGGTTCCTCGCTCCATCTTCCCCAAGAAAGGGTGTCCCGGAGAAGGTCCAACCCGGATATGTCGACCGCATCATGCCCAAGTCCGCCGCCGTCCTGGCCGAAGAGAAGACCAAGTCGGTGAAGGACTTTTTGCGCCGCTCGATGGCCGAGGCCCGGCGCAAGTCGCTCGCGGAAGGCCTGCAAGGGCTCTGGCAGCGCAAGGTGAAGCGCGATCAGAAGCAAGCGAAGGAGGCCAAGGCGCGGTTTATGGCGAACAAGCGGGCGGCCCAGGCGCCGGAGCGTCTGGATGAGGTGTTCACGCGCGCGACGATCCGCGAGAGCACGGCCAAGGACACGTTTGTGCCCGTGGATCCGGAGGCGTTCGCAAAGGCCGAGGTGGCGCGCATCAAGCATGCGGAGAGGGAGGCGATGAAGAGCGAGGCGCGCCGGGACGCCCTCGTCCAGCTGTATGTGGCCTCTAAGCACTTCATCGTTGACGAGAAGGAGCTGGAGGAGCACGTCAACAAGCACTTCACCGAGAAGATTCACAACGCCGGTCTCTGGGAAAGCGGCCGCAGCATCTGGGACTCGCAGAAGAACCCTATCAGCATGAAAGAGTTGCGCAGCGAGGTCAGCGGTTTCAACGACAGAGTCACCGCTACCACCTCAGCCGCCGTGAAGACGACAGTCAGGCAGAAGAACGTGGCCGAGGAGTTGACTGGCGGCAAGTTGTAGTTGGGATGCAAGAACGAAAACTCCATCTCATACGTCCGTTTCTGCCCCTATCAGGTTGTACAAATAGTCAAAGGTTTGCTGCTTTATCGTGAGGATTTTACACGATGGGCGAATCCAGCAACCTTGTACATTAAGGAAGGGGGTTGTGTACACATAGAATCAGATCGGCCAAGGACACCAGCCATCACAACACTCATATTGAACTTTTACAACACTGTACTTTATTCCGATACCCTATTTCTCCGAGCCGCTGGTTTTCAGAACAACGCTTTATTTGTTGCCTAAATAGTACGATGATGCCCATGACCCAGTACGCTAGTGTCAACCAATAATCCAAGAAAATTCCATCATGTCCATCATCAAAACGCTGTACAAACAAAGAAAATGGGTACAAGTATGACATCTATCTATCAGAATCAACGCGTCATACACGCCGGTCTAATAACAGTTGCTACATTCTCCAGCTCATATTAACCAGCAACTGTGGTCTAAGCCTGATCTACTATCATCTCGTTACCTCTTCTCGACAAGGAGAATGTGCATGGCACCATAAGCAAGGATGATGAAGGTCATGCCAAAGAGGCCCAGGTTCATGATATCCCTCCACATAGCCGAGTTGTCAAAACCAAAAGTGGTTAAGATTGTAGCACCAGGAACGGTGATATCGAGACCGTACTTGTGGTCAACAAGGGTGAGCTGAGTAACCTCGTTGACAATCAGGGCCTCGAAGCCGTAGTGGAAGATGGAGAGCCACTGAAGCCAAAGTGCCGCAGCTGGAATGGCGTTGTGGTTGAGCAAAAGACCGGCAAACAGCAGACTGAAGAGCATAACCAAGCTGCCAATCAGGTTGGCTACACCTCCATCCTTGCAAACGATGCCAATAAACAGGCAAATAGCGGCAGCGGCCAGGTTGAAGAGGACCAAAACGAGGACAAAGACGAAGAACCGCTGGTAGTCGGCGACGAGACCGGTCATAGGGTAGATGATCGCGCCAAGTAGGATAGGTGGGATGATTCTCAGGGGAACAATGTCGAACAAGACCTTGGCGGCGAAATAAGTAACAGGTGAATAGTAGCCATTCGCCCTCTCGCGTACAAAGAGCAACCTCTCCTGGGAGAAAACACCCAAGCTGGTGAGGGTGCTGAAACCGAACAAAGCGAGGACGAAGAAGAAAAGACCAAGCCTGTTCTGGAAACCCGCAATATCCAAGGTTAAGCCGTAGAACAAGTAGCCGGCAAAGACAGCCAGGAGGATTGCGATGGCGTAATGGGTCAACATCAACATCGGGTTCCGATAAAGGTTCTTCCAAGTGCGCTGAGACAGAATAACAAACTGTCGGAACAAGCCCACGCGAGCATAACCCTTACCCATTGTACCGGTGTAGATATTACCATCTGCAACATATCCGTTGGCATTCTGACCGTTGCTCTGCTCCGCAGCTGCGATTGCCTGATGAATCTCATCATGGGTACCGGCAGCAATGTCAGAATGGACATACGACTCAATAAGAACATCAAGGTCAGTGCCAGTAGCAGCGGGAGGAGGAAGATCATGGAGATCATCGTTCATGTTCCGCAGAGGAGTGACCGGTGGCTGCTTTTGCAATTTGTAACCCCCAATCTCGTCTCCAGCATCCGAGGAGGCAGCAGTGTCAACGGCTTGCTTGCGCCTGGTATAGAGCTCCCTCTCCTGTTTACGTCTGACCGAGTCACGACGGTTGTTCCTAGGGCGCGAAGTGGATGATTCAACCAAGCTGTCATCGCCGATACTGAGTCCAGACACACTGGCAATTGACTTTACAGCTCTAGTACTGCTGGGTCCCACGCTAACCCCATCGACTGACAGTGTACCATCGTCGTAAGAAGTGGTCGATCCGGCATGCATGGTCAAATCAACCAGGTAATCGGCAATGTTGAAACCAGGAGGGCAGGTGTAGCCAATCTGATCGAAATACTCCTGAGCTTGGTGCAGAGGTCCAGAATACACGGTTTTGCCTTGTGCCAACAGAATGAGCCGGTCGAAGAGAGCGACGATGTTGGATCTCGGCTGATGGATGGTGAAAATAACCGTTCTCTTGTAAGTCTTGGCCAGGGTAACGAGGCATTCGACAACGTTGTAAGCATTGTAAGCGTCAAGGCCACTGGTGGGCTCGTCGAGGAACAGGATCGAAGGACTGGTGACCAGCTCGCAAGCGATACCAACTCTGCGCTTTTCACCTCCGGAAATGCCCCGACCTTTGCCTTCTTCGGAACCAATTAGGGAGTCTCGGATGTGGTGGATGCCCAACTGCTTCTCGACCTCGATCACTCTTTGTTCCTTGGCGGCTCGTGTCATGTCTTTCGGCAGGCGAAGAAGGGCGCTATTGAGAATGGTTTCGTGTACCGTCAACGTCGGCAACATGGTGTCCTCCTGATCGACAAAGCCGACTGCGTTCTTGTACTCCGCATCGCTGACCTTTTCGCCGTTGATGTAAAAGTCTCCCGACACTTGACCGCGCTTGTTCTTTCGGGCAAGGATATCCAAGAACGTAGTCTTTCCGGCTCCGGATGCTCCCATGATGGCAGCGACTTCACCCGGATGAGCCATCCCTTGGATCCCAGACAGAATCTCCTTTCCGTTGAGGTTGTAGATAACGTTCTCGAAATAGAGAGAAGCGGGCTTGTGATCGGTCATAAGCTTGATAGCCTCGTCGTCTGAGTCGTCAAGGTGAATTGGGCCATACTTGAACTTTCTTCGGGAAAGGTACCAGGTTCCCAGAATGACGGCAACAAGGAAAAGCCCACAGGCGGCAATGACACCGGCAATAAGTGGCGTGTTGATCTTGGGGACGGTAGGCGTGTATCCAGGTACTTCGGTGTGGTAAAGACACTCGCCAGCGCTGCAAGTCAGAAGGATGCTCTGGTCACCGAATACATCGTTGATAAGATTGTTCATCTCGGGCTCCTTGAAGGCACAGTTCTTTGCTTCACCGGTGTTCTGGGTGCATTCGAAGCTCGCCGGGCCCTTGATCTGCTCGGACAAGAAATCGCCAATGTCGACGGAGCCATGTTCGCCGCATAGCATTCGGTCCGGAATACACTCGCATTGAATCTTTTCACATTTGTATGAGGTCGTGTTCTTTCCCTTGTCGAAGTCAAAGTTGGCAGTCGATTCGCATTCTCTCAAGTGGCACATGAACGACTCGCGTTCCTCGACCCAGACTGAAGGTGCGTTGATTAGCGTCCAAGTCTAAACCCAATAATAAGAGGAGGAACTTACACTGGAAGTCACACTCGCCAGTTTCCTTCTTACAGGTAAACGTAACCTGAGGGACCTTGGTTCCAAGAAGGTTCCGAATGGCCTTGTTTGTAACATCGCAGATCTGATAGTTTTGCTTGACGACCTCGCCGCCGGTATAGCAAACGCCACCATCCCCAGTTTCGGTAAAGGCGTTGCAGACGTTATCGTTCGTGCAGACATTGCAATTGATGCCTGTCCACCCATCGTCACATTCGCAAGACTTGCCCTTACGGACCGGTCGATCGGGGCCTCGAGAAAGTGAGCCGCAGACTGTGAAAAGCCATAACGAGATTAGCATCAGATGGGATGAAAGGACAATCATAGCCATCGGCGTTCACATACGTGGTTCTAAGCAGTTGTCGCCGCCAAAGCCATCGGGACAGATACACTTGCCACTGTACTCGCTACATGGTGCGAATTGACCGCACGAGTACATGGGAAGGTTGCAGTTGAAGCTAACCGGAGAGTATCATTAGCATCGCCAGGCCAAATATCTAGACGTCTGGAAGCATCGAGCGTACCATGGAGGACAGTCTTTGGGTCGATCGGCCATCAGTTCCATTTGCGCTCGCAACATATCGATGGATGTGTAGTTCTGGTACGCTGACGCTGACGCAACCCATGATAGCGATAGCGCAGCGAGCGCGAGCGCGCGGGGTATCCCGAACGCCATGATTATAGGATATAGCCCAGGCCTCGAGTGAAGGCACTGTTGATGGCTTCGCGTAAAGAGGTAAAGTCGTTGTCGTTATTCGACTGGATTCGGGAGGAAGTCGGTGTCGGGTTGTTGGAGAAGAACCACTTCAGTTCCAACCAGGCGCGGTTGGACGTGCGTGCTTTGAGGTAGATGATAGGTGGTGACCAAGTGAGCTGTCGGATCGGCGTGTAAGTACCTATCGGTGGTGGCGCGCCCAGGCTAATGTGCCTGGATATCCCAATGGAGCCAACCTGAGTCTCCGAACAGACTCAGATGACCTGATCCAATCCCCACGGATCGAGCACCCGATAATCCTTCGAACTTTGAGGCCTGTACGGCTAGTGTTGATAAGGCAATGTCGAACACTGTCGCTTCTTGTTTGACCAAAAAGAGTTGTTTAATATCTGGAAACCGGACTTCTGAAAAGGTCGTGATGGGGGATATGAAACTGGATCGGAGGAAACAGAGCCGTGACTTGATGCATCCAGCCAAGTTGCGCGGCCCGTGTGCGTGGATTGCTCTGACTGCAGCAATGACGAAGGCCGTCCAGAGAGTTGGAGCTGTGACTTTCCTTGGCCCACAAGTTGGAGACAATGCAACGGTTTCCGTAAGTTCTATTGGTGAGACTCGACACGGGCTACAGTGTGGATTCACATCTTCCCCAGCTTTACTGAGATCCATATTTCCCCCTCCCGCTGTCATTGGTTACAACCTCAACGACTTGCACATGGCACTCGGCCAAGTTATCGCAAATCATGCGGGGATTCCCAACTGTTGAGGATGTGGATGGCGGTACCTGAGTGCCAAAGACCTGGAAATGTGAAAGTCAAAACACCAAGAATATTCTCACGATACCATCGATACTTTAATGTTGATGAAACTGCTTGGTTAGTTATCATGGAAGACAGCTTAGGAACTTGAAGCCGTTGAAGTTATCAGATCTGTGGAGCTTCAGTGTCAAACACATTGAACTAACGAAAGCAGGGCGCGCCCTTCATGTCAAAGGCTCCAAATAGACTCCATAACTCGATCTGTATATAAATCGTGATCTCTATCTCTGCAAGGACACACGAACTAAAAAAAACGACGGGACTTATTCCACCTCGATTTTATCTCACCTGCCCACTGACAGTCACTCCGCCCAAATTCACAATGGTCAGAATCACCCCCTTCGAAGTCGAACAATGGATGGACAGCTACGAAACCACTCCCGGTGTAATCAACATAGCCGAAACATGTTGCGCGTCCATCTCCGTCGACGACCTCATCTCCCTAAACACCGACAAATCTGCTTCAAGCCCCTTACAGCTCTCCAAGAAGCTAACGTACGGCGACATCCTCGGCTCCTCGACTCTTCGTTCGCGGGTGGCCTCGCTGCTCAACCGGGACTTGAACCTTTACTCTCCGGACGGGAGCTTAGAACCGCTAACTGCCGAAAACGTCATTATCACTCAGGGTGCTATAGCCGCCAACTTTTTGGTGTTCTATACGCTGGTCGGACCGGGGGACCATGTCATCTCTGTGTATCCTACTTATCAACAACTGTATTCGGTTCCGGAGAGCTTGGGTGCTGAGGTTTCGCTGTGGAAGTTGAAGGCTGAGAAGGGATATGTGCCCGATGTTGGGGAGTTGGAAGGATTGGTAAAGGATAATACCAAGGTCTGTTGTCCGTTTTGTATTCACGCCATGAGTGGCATTCCCATTTTCCCATCACTGAACCCTCACCTCCCTTCGGCCTCCTTGTCCACAAAGTCCAAATACGGTTGAAGTCGAAAACAGAAACTAACAAGACCAAAAAACAAGCTCCTCGTCCTAAACAACCCCAACAACCCAACAGGCGCCACCATCCCCACCTCAACCCTCCACTCCATCCTCGACTTTTGTTCCTCCTGCAACATCTCCATCCTCTCCGATGAAGTCTACTCTCCCCTCTTCCACTCCTTGCCCAACGACGAGTCCTCCCTAGCACCCCCCTCCATCCTCTCCCTATCCCCTTCTGGAACCACCAAAAAGACCTGTGAAACAATCTCAACAGGGTCAACCTCCAAATCCCTCGCCCTCGCCGGTCTCCGTCTCGGTTGGATCGCCTCCCGCTCCCCTTCCCTCCTCCGCGCCATCGCCTCCGCCCGCGATTACACCGCCATAAGCGTCTCGCAGCTCGACGACCAGGTAGCCAGTTACGCGCTGGGCCCTACTGTACTCCCGGCGCTGTTGGAGAGGAATATGGATTTGGCTAGAACGAATCTGGCGTTGCTTACTAAGTTTGTGGAGGGCAAGTACAGCACGGTATGCTCGTGGGTTAGGCCGACGGCGGGGACGACGGCTTTGGTGCAGTTTCGGAATGTGAGAAAGGTAGGGGAGCCAGTCGATGATGCTGGTTTTGTCTTGGATGTTTTGGAGAAGATGAAGGTGTTATTTATGCCTGGTAGTCCTTGCTTTGGGCTTGGGACGGACTTTAAGGGTTATGTGAGGATAGGCTATGCTTGTGAGACTGAGGTGCTGGAAAGGGGTCTGGAACTTTTAGGTCAGTATGTCGAGGAATACTTGCTCTGAGGAAGGTTACTATCAAACAAGCCAGCAGAATTTGATGGCTTATAAGCCAGGTAAGCAGAGAATCATTGGCAAGACGCACCAAAGCAGGTTGCCAGGGCATCAAAACATCGTGAAATTGCCTCAATCTAGAACAGCCGAACAATACAAAAACACAGACAAATCACCATGAGCATGTTGTAATTCATTTCGAGTTTGGTATGATACTATGGAATCAACTGTATTAAAAATATAAGATCTTATATCTCTTGGGCACAAGGTAGAGGTCTAAAAGATCAAAGGGGAACCGACACTGGTAAACGCCATCCGAGCTGGCTATCCACAGAGATTTTCCAAGAGCAAAAACAAAGTCTTGAGTTTTCTCTTCGTCCTCAAGTTTACGCCGGTAGAGGCTCGGTAGTTTTGAAGTTCTCTGGGTGCAGAATGCCGTGCATGTTTCCTTGATTGATCCGTTCCATCGTCAGGGCAGCGATAAGGGCAGCACCAACACCACTTCCGTCCTCAGCAGCCAGAATCTCGATCGGATCATCCTCCTTGGGGTCCGCCTTCTCGGGCCAGTCGAGGATCTCACGAAGTGCCTGTGCACCGCGAGCCTTGAAGTTGGGGTACTTGTTGAAAACGGATCCATCAGCACCAACGTGGCACTCCTTGTAGCCCTTCTTCTTGCTGATGGCAGCAACACCGCAAGCGGAGAGGCGAGCGGCACGGGTACCGATTAGCTCGGCGGTGCGACGAATCAGCTCCAGCTCGGGGCCAGTAGGCTTGAGACCCAGCTTGCTCTGGAAGAGGTCGGCGGTTTCGGAAAGGTTCTCGAACGGATCCCTGCATGTGTTTGTTAGTTAGCAGGCCCAAAGTCTCATAGGAACACCGCACTTACTCTTCGATGAGGGAAAGGAAGGACGAGTCAAGGCTATAGGCCTTCCGAAGCTTGGAAATATCCTGGCCAGGGAAGATCTTGATTTCCTGGTTGTCGTGGAGGTCAACCAAAACGAGGCGGAAGATTTCACCCAGATACAGCCCTGCGACCATCTTCTCAAACGACTGCTGACCGGGACGCGGCGAATCCTTGTCAATGATGACGTCGTAAGGAGTACGGGGCAGAACCTTGTGCTCATTGTCAAAAGCACCCCATTCGCAGTTGATAGCCATTGGCATGTCTGGTGGGAGATTCATGTGAGCGAGCTTCGGGATAGAGCCGCAGTTCTCCATGTACGCAGCATTGCACCCTGTGCCGAAAATGCATCCAATTCTCATCTTAGGATCAGTGTATGCCGAGGCAATCAGGGTACCGGTGGTGTCGTTGATCAACGCTGTCAGCTTGATAGGCACTCCCTAAGAGACAGAAAACGTTAGCAGATGCTCAAAGAGAGCTGGAGAGTGCAGCATACCCGGCGTTGAAGGGCAGCCTCGAACATGGGGACAACATTATGGCCCTCTACGCCAGCAATATCGAAGCCCTTGGTCCAGCGCTGCAGGATGCCCTCGTCGATATAGTTCTGTGTCGCAGGGTAGGAGAAAGTGAAGCCTAGGGGAAGCTTGTCAAGCTTGGTCGGGTCTCCGTGGTGCGTCTCAATGAACTGCATGAGGCAGTCGGCAATGTACTCCCACAGCTCTTCGGCGTCGCCCGTCTTGAGCTCCTCGGGCATGCGGTACTTGGACTGAATGATGTCGAATTCGGACTTTGTCTCAGTCAAAGTGACTTGGCACACACGTAGGTTTGTACCACCCATGTCCAGAGCCAAATAGGTACCTGTCTCGTTGCCGTCAGGGAAGGACATGACCCAGGTAGGGTTCATGGGCTATAAGAATTCCATCGTCAGCGGGATTCATTCCCAAGTCTTTGTCGTTCGGCGGCGGTGGTAAAACGCACGATGCTCCCTCCCTGGACGCTAAGACCTAAGCACAAAAGAAGCAGTCAGCATGCTGTCTAGGCCTCGACATGTACTGTATTTGCAGTTCGTCAAGTGCTTACCTTTCTCAAGCTCATTGACGAAGTGGTCGGTCACCTCTTTAAGCTTGGCACCATCGACGGTAAAGAGGCGTTCGAGGTGCTCGATCTCCTTGCGGAGATCCTTGGGAAGGTTATCGAGGGTTCCTGACGCCATGGTTAGTTGTAAGACTGAGAACTATCGTGGTAAACTTCTTGCCCTCTGCGTTGGAATGGTTCCGACTGTGGCAGTGGGCGTGATGGTGATAAGAGCGAAGTCTGCTGAGAGGAGGGGGATGTTCATGGTAGGTAACTAGGCTTCTTGGCGAAGACGTCCCGGCAGGCGCCATAGCTGCATATGTAGAAAAGCCACAGGAAAGTTGAATGAAGGGGACGAAATGGCGGCAAGAAACCGAACACTTCCGTTCACAAGCCGGCAAACGGAGGGAAACTGGGGCGTCTGATGTTGTTACCCCTGTAACAGAGGGAAAAGCAACGAATAATGGTATAGCAACAGGGTGTTGCAAAGCAGTTGAAGTGGCTTAGGGTCTCTTAGGTGAAGTCGGCGATGTCACTCTGGGTGTTGGGGTGCCGGTGGTGCAGGTCAATAGCTCGAATAGGTCGAAGGTCGGAAGCTTGGGGCCAAGAAGACGGGACTTTCGGAGTTTCATCCAGGAATTTAGATATCAACTGAACTGCTTCCCAGACGTAACTTCCGCTTCTTCGAGCTCAACTCCAACCGCTCTTTCCCACTTGAGATAAGCGAGTCGTTTGCTGAAGCTCTCTGGTTCGGTTGGTAGTACCTGACCAGTCTGATGAGGCTGCCACGCAATCTGACAGGGTCGACGCCCGTGACGCACACCAAGTTATGAAGGAAGAAGGGTGTAAGCTGACCCATCCAGAGCTGTCATCAGAAACGAAGGAAGCTACCCCTCCATGTCCGAGGGAAAGGGTTGCCCACCATTTCCGCTTTTGCCCACGCCGGTCAAAGCCAAGCAAATGGCAAACACAATGGTGTATATCTAGGTGCGTGGGTGTTGGGAAGGTACCATGCGGGATGATACCTCCATAAGAATGGAAATGCCATGGGGTAAATGAAACCGAGAGCGGGATGAAAAGGGACGGCGAAAACCCGGGGTTGGGTTACGACGGGAGGTTTTTCGACAGATGAAATCTGAAAGAACTTGTCGGCCCAAAAGTAGCACCACACCTTCAGCAGAGAGCACCCACGCCACTTGGCTTCTCACTCGAGCTGTAAGAAGTTCATGATCCGCCCATGCCGCTATCAATCCCAATTCCTTCGAGAGACCGTGTAACGTGAAGACGCGGGCAACTTGTGCATATCCTGCTGTCCGAAACCCGACTTCTCATGCCGTCCGACGTCTGATGATTTGACGCAACGAAGTGGAAAAAAAAGCATGTGCCGGGAGGTGGAGTAAGTGCCGGTTAAATCGGACGGCTTGATCAACCGATCGGAGAGATGTAGTTGATGATGAGGCTGAAGACAAATCTCTGTACGTACCGGTACCCTTCCTGGGAAGGGGAGGCTTAGCTCCAAGTCCAACCATGATGGGCGAGATAACAGGATATCTTGATAGTTTTGGGTTTTTTATATACTGGGGTTGTCGAAGTCCAGTGAAGCTCTAAAGTCGGAAGTAGAGAGAAGAGAACAGATAACGTTGATGTTCAGGAACAAGACACCGGTCTACGCCTTTTATATTGAAAGAACAGCTGGGTGAAAAGGATGAACTAATTGTGTGCAAACAGGTGGCGGACCAGTCAGCCAGATAGGTCGCGATTGGAGAAATGAGGGCCAGGAGCTATCTAGTTATCATCGGGCTCACAGAGAGAACGTGTTGCCAAGCAAAGCGGAAGCTGTCAAGCTGAAGCTAAATCGCATTTCAGGGTATGATGAAGTGGAAACCAGCGTGGAAATCCGCCCAAATCATGACCTCGTCGACGTAGGATCCTAGACGGGAACTATGATCCACAATCAGAGTGCAGTAGCGGTTGTGCTGAGGCGGCAGTTCGTGGGTTTCTTCCACCCCCCCTCCACCCCCTTTTAAGTTACTTGTAAGCTGGCCCCTGATCTCAAAGTTCAAATTCGATGTTGAGACTATAACCCATGGTGATAAGGTCAGAAAAGACAGCATATACTTGTTCAGAGAGTTTCTCGCGAGTTTGAGAGAATGGGCAGTTTGGAAGCGCACAACCTGTGCACAGTTGCCCCTCATTATCACCGCTGACAGGGTTGCGCAGTGGTGACAAGTGGAAGCTTCCCCTGCAGCTTGGGCAGAAGCTCAATGGCAACTCAAATCACCATCATTCCAGGTTGATATGAGCTGGCCAGCCACAATTGACCAACATGAAGCGCATGAAAGCGCCATGGGATCTTCCTCCATCTATGTCCAAAATTTCGGGAAAATTAGGGAACTGGTAACTCTTTGAAGGTTGGAGATGAATCTGAAGTAAATACCCCGCGCCGCCAGAATTAGGTGCGGTTATGGCGGGGCAGCCCCTACAGTCCTGACGTCTTCAGGGTCGATCGGTTCCATGCAGACGAGAAGCGTCCGCCCAAAGCTTTGCGTGGGATACCTACTGGGATGGATCCCACGAGGTTGTCTCTGTAGGTAGCTGGAGCTTGCACTCCGCAGTCAACCGTTAAAGTCTTGAAATGGAAAAGAGAACCTCAGGAGTCGGGACCACGGCGTCATCATCCTCCGAAGCTAAAAATACCGGTCGGAGTCCGGGGTCAAGGCTCGGTGGAGGTGAACGAACCCGACCTCCCGTCCAGCGGGATCTAGGGACCCACTCGGAAGCTTAAGCTTGGTGGCCCGAGCTCTATGGAATTGCCGGGGTGGACTCCTCTACGGAGTACGGACGAGCAGGGGTCCACCACAACAGCAACGTAAGCGTTTTGGAGAAGTGCTGGACAGCTGGCGGGACACGGCCGATTATCGAGAGGCCACGGTGATGCTTGTCAGTAACACTTGACGGCCCAGCTTCTCGTGTAATTGATTGTCCAGCGCCTGCTAAGTCCCTTTCCCAAGCTTAGCCTTCCACATCATCAATTGGACTACTGAACGGTTCATGAACGCGTCCCGGTCCTTTCGTTCAAGATGAAGACATCGGCCGTCTTCTCTGCCGTTCTTTCGTTGCTTTCCCTGGCTTCGACAAGCTCGGCGCATGGACACCACCATCACCATCACAAGCACAGCGATAGCGGCACCTCGAGCGCATCTGTCCCGCCAGCATTCACGCCGCCTCAAGTCTTCAAGAATGTCAACCTCGTCCACATCGTGTCCTTGGAGAAGAACTACGTCAAGGAGTCCATCAATGTTGTAATAGAAAACATCGACAAGGAGGCACAGTCCGATTACATTCTGCCCTTTACAAACGAGCAGTTGTCGCGTCTGGGTGGTTTGGAGGTTAGAGATCGCAAGAATGCCGAATCCGGCCCTTTCGTTGTCGAGCCTGTGGAATTCGATTCGTTCGGGTCAGTGAATCTTGTCCATTTGTCTCCCAAGTCCCCATCTAACCTCCTTGCGTAGTCCCAACCAGTACGTTCGGGTCCGACTCCCCACGCCTCTTGCGCCTGGCGCACAGCAGACCTTGGGCATTACCTACTACCTCCTGAGCGCCTACAAGCCTCTCCCCGCCACGATCAAGCAGGAGGAGCAACAGTTCCTTTCGTACTCCTTCTCGGCCTACTGCCCCTCGGTCTACACGACATCCAAGCAGAAGACCGAAGTCAAGTTCGCATCGACCAACATCCCCGATTACACCAAGCTTCCTGGCAGTGGAGACGTCAAGGAGTTCCCCCAGAAGCAGGGATCTAAGCTCGTCTATGGTCCCTTTGACGAGAAGCCCGCCGGCGCGCTCGAGCCCGTCCAGGTTCGGTTCGAGTTCAACAAGCCCGTGATTCACGTTTCTCACCTCGAGCGCGACATTGAGGTCAGCCACTGGGGCGGAAATGTGGCGTTTGAGGAGCGCTACGATCTCGAGCACCGCGGCGCCAACCTCTCGTCCCAATTCAACCGGGTCAAGTGGCAGCAGGCGCAATACTACAACCCTGTCACTCATGCGCTCAAGGAGATGAAGTTCCCTCTGCGCGTTGGCAGCGCCGACCCCTACTACACCGACGTGATCGGCAATGTGTCCACGTCTCGCTTCCGTAGCAACAAGAGGGAGGCTCTGCTTGAAATCAAGCCGAGATACCCCTTGTTTGGAGGCTGGAAGTACCCGTTCACCATCGGTTGGAACTCGGACGCGAAGAACTTTTTGCGCAAGACCGCTACCGGAGGCTTCGTTCTGAATGTTCCCTTCCTTGAGGGTCCTAAACAGCCCGAGGGTGTTGAGTACGAGCAGGTTGTGGTCCGTTTGATCCTGCCTGAGGGAGCTGAGTACGTTTTTCCCGACCCCAAAAATGCCCTAACGTGTTACTGACAGTGGTATGTAAAGGAACGTAAAATGGACCACGGGGATCCCCAAGTCCTCGATCTCTGAAGCTGGCGTGCAGGTTCACAAGACATTCTTGGATACTATCGGCCGCACAGCTCTTGTCATCAAGGGCCGCAACTTGGTCGATGACTTCAGAGACCGTGATCTCACCGTCACCTATGACTACCCAATGTCGGCGGTTCTGCGTAAGCCTATTGTTGTGTTCAGCAGCGCGATGACCGTCTTCGTGAGCTTGTGGCTTCTCAGCCTTATCAACCTCAAGTTCACTACCAAGAAATAAGGGAGGAGAAAGTGGTGGAGTTAATAGACATATGGGTTTGGTGAAAATTTCCTATATAAATGTATCATCGTCATACTTACAGCGGCCAGGTATTTGAGGAGCAAAAGAAACGATATTTCGAGAGCGGAGCGAAATCTATCGCGGTGACAAAGGACAAAATTAACTGACTGGAACTGTTTGAACTTATCCACTCAGCAGTCCAAGAAGGCTGAGTTAACAGGGAAGCCGGGCGCTCGGTGTGGAAAGAAGCTGTTCGTAGGAAGAGCTGGCCCAGTCAGGTGTGAAAACTCGCGCCCTACCTGAGTTCTATGTGCCTTTCATTTTGAACAACGAAGCCATAGGCTTCTTTGGTCTTGAACACTTCCCAAGTAAGTGTAGACTCACCCAGAGTATTTCGAGCCGAACACAAGCCATGCCCGAGTGTTCACAACGTCTCAATTGTAACAAAAGGCCTTTACCGAGAAAGACAACCAGTATCAGACTGTCCATGGTCGGTTTGTTGATTCTACAGTATCCGAGTCACCATCCTGGAGCTCTCACCAGGGGAAGAGCACCGTGCAAGGAGACGGGAGGAG